CAGAATCAAGCAACACATCAAACAAATTATACACCATGACCAAGTGGGTTTTATCCCAGGGTCTCAAGGATGGTTCAATATACATAAATCTATAAATATAATTCATCACATAAACAAATTAAAAAACAAAGACCATATGATTCTCTCAATTGATGCAGAAAAAGCTTTTGATTATATCTAGCATCCCTTAATGTTCAGAACACTTAAGAAAATAGGTATAGAAAGGACATTTCTTAAGCTGATAGAGGCCATCTACTGCAAGCCCACAGCCAATATCGTATTGAATGGAGTTAAATTGAAATCATTTCCACTCAGATCAGGAATCAGGCAAGGTTGCCCATTGTCTCCACTGCTCTTTAACATTGTAATGGAAGTTTTAGCTGTCGCAATTAGGGACGAAAAGGCAATCAAGGGTATCCATATAGGGTCAGAAGAGATCAAACTTTCACTCCTTGCAGATGATATGATTGTATATCTGGAAGACACCAGGGATTCTACTACAAAACTCTTAGAAGTGATCAAGGAATATAGCATCATCTCAGGTTGCAAAATCAACACTCATAAATTGGTAGTCTTTATATATACCAACAATAGCCAAGCTGAAAAAATAGTCAAAAACTCTATTCCATTTCTAGTAATACCAAAGAAGAGGAAACATTTGGGAGTTTACCTAACAAAGGATGTGAAAGATCTCTATAAAGAGAACTATTAAGAAAAGAAATAGCTGAAGATGTTAACAAATGGAAAAACATACCATGCTCATGGCTGGGAAGAATCAACATTGTGAAAATGTCCATACTACACAAAGCAATATACAATTTTAATGCAATCCCTATTAAAGCTCTATTGTCATACTTTAAAGATCTCAAAAAAAATAATACTTCATTTTATATGGAATCAGAAAAAACCTCAAATAGCCAAGATATTATTCAGAAATAAAAACAAAGCAGGAGGAATCATGCTACCAGACCTCAGACTATACTATAAATCAATAGTGATTAAAACAGCATGGTACTGTCACAAAAACAGAGGTAGATGTATGGAACAGAATAGAGAACCAAGAGGTGAACCTAGCTACTTACTGTTTGATCTTTTACAAGCCAATTAAAAATATTCAGTGGGGAAAAGACTCCCTATTTAACAAATGGTGCTGGGCAAACTGGCTGGTGACCTGTAGAAGACTGAAACTGGACCCACACCTTTCACCATTAAGTAAGATAGACTCTCACTGGATTAAAGATTTAAACTTAAGACATGAAACCATAAAAATACTAGAAGAAAGTGTAGGGAAAACACTTGAAGAATCCAGCCTGGGTGAAAATTTTATGAGGAGGACCCCCCAGGCAATTGAAGCAGCTTCAAAAATACACTACTGGGACCTGATCAAACTAAAAAGCTTCTACACAGCCAAGAACACAGTAAGGAAAGCAAATAGACAGCCCTCAGAATAGGAGAAGACATTTGTAGGTTACGTCTCCAACAAAGGTTTAATAAACAGAATTCACAGAAAACTCAACCGTATTAGCAAGAAAAGAACAAGTGATCCCATCTCCGGGTAGGCAAGGGACTTGAAGAGAAACTTCTCTAAAGAAGGCAGGAGCACAGCCTATAGACATATGAAAAAATGCTCATCATGCTTAATCATCAGAGAAATGCAAATCAAAACTACTTTGAGATATCACCTAACTCCAGTAAGATGGGCCCATATCACAAAATCCCAAAACCAGAGATATGAGCGTGGATGTGGAGAAAAGGGAACACTTCTACACTGCTGGTGGGAATGCAAATTAATTCGTTCCTTTTGTAAAGATGTTTAGAGAACACTCAGAGAACTAAAAATAGACCTGCTATTCGATCCTACAATTCCTCTACTAGGTATATATCCAGGAGACCAAAAATCTCACTATAACAAAGATATTTGTACCAGAATGTTTACTGCAGCCCAATTCATAATTGCTAGGTCATGGAAGAAGCCCAAGTGCCCATTGATCCACGAATGGATCTATAAATTATGGTATATGTATACCATGGAATATTATGCAGCCTTAAGGAAAGATGGAGACTTTACCTCTTTCATGTTTACACGGATGGAGCTGTAACATAGTCTTCTTAGCAAAGCATCTCAAGAATAGAAGAAAAAGGATCCAATGTACTCAGCCCTACTATGAAACTAATTTATAGCTTTCATATGAAAGCTATAACCCAATTACAGCCCAAGAATATGGGGAAAAGGGAAAGGGAGGGGAGGGGCATGGGAGGAGGTTGGAGGGAGGGTAATTGGTGGGACCACACCTACGGTGCATCTTGCAAGGGTACATGTGAAACTTACTAAATGTAGAATATAAATGTCTTAACACAATAACTAAGAAAATGCCATGAAGGCTATGTTAGCCAGTTTGATGAAAATATTTCAAATTGTATATAAAACCAGCACATTGTACCCCATGACTTCATTAATGTACACAGCTATGATTTAATAAAAAAAAAGGACATTTTGAATAAAAGATTATATTTAAAAATGTATAAATAAACAAACCACTCTTACAAATTGATGAAGAAGTGCAAGGTTAGAACTAGAGTAAGGGCCCCAGAACTCTGGGAAGGAGCAGGCTTAAATAAAATAATGAGAATAATCAGCCATTGCACCCTCCTTTGCTTGATAATAGTCACTGCTGGACTCTGTTTTCTTCTTTACCCTGGAGTAGTTTTTGAGCTGTCTTCCAGGTCCTCCATTCCAGTGACCAGCCCACCCATACCAAGGAACTGACTCAATAGGTCTTGGAACCTCTATCCAAACTTCTGCATTTCATTAAGTGACCCACCTACATTGCAGCCCATACCAAAGAACTAATGGTTCTGCCCTGAAACCAGCCAATCAGCAGACCCTGATTGTCCAATCTTTTGTCCACCAAACAGTCTTTAAAAATCTTGACACCCCTGCCAATTCTCAGGGGGGCAGATTTGAGAAATTTCTCCCATCTCCTCACTTAGCACTATATGGAATTAACTCGTTCTGTCTCTGGATATTGGCTTTCTCTTGGCAGCAAGCAGATGAACCTGGCTGGGCAGCAACATAATGCCTCATTTTCTTTAGGCTAAAGGAAAGCCTGCATACATCAAGGTCAGGAGGTGGACTAGTATTCTTTTTAAAATATTTACTTTAAAGAATTTATCAAATTGGAAAAAACAGATGCTCAGAAGAGGATAATCTGACTAAAGAGCTAATGGAATACTTTCTAAAAAGAGGGACTAACCTGATGTGAAAATCCATAACCAAAGTTTCCATAGGAGAATGTAAACTCCATCTCCAACCTGCAAATATACTAAACATGTGACAAATTTGTTTTATTGTTTGATCTGAATGACATTTTAGTGGAGAAATATTAACAAGTGATATTTTTACTTCACAAATCTGTAGTCAGAAATGCCAAAGTATGAATCTCCTGATTTTAAATAGAAGAGTTTAACAAGGAACTCCCATAGAAGAATCTACTGAGTTCCTGAAATGTTAAAACCTTCTAGGTTAAGTAATATTATAGATTAAAATATGGAAAATATCAACTTACAATTGTTAATAAAATTACACTGAGATATGGACATATATACATATATATTCTTTTACATGTATATATTTTTACAATTATTTACTCACATTCCTCTCACCTCCACTCCCATTTTCACATAAAATTTTGTCTTAGAAAAGTAATTTTACTTCTCTGAACCACAGGTTGCTTATGTGTGAGAGGTAATGACTTTGAATGTACATCATTCTGTTTTTTACATTTCTTGTCCCTGTTTTGGCCACTGGCAGGAAAAGTCTCTCTGAATAGAAGGTCAATAAACCACACTAATAATTTTAAGTTTTTGAAAAGAAATTAAAATAAGAACTGTAAACAATCTTTAGAAACTCCCCAAGGAGAAAAAATAATACTTTTTCAATTTAGCAAGTGAGGCTCCCAAGGCAATGCAGTCAAAGAAGCATCCAGAGAGGCATTTTACTTCTCATCCCAAATTTTCTAATTTTCTTTATCACCATTAAGCAGTAAGTTTGTAGCTTAAAAACAAAAAGGTGAGGGTGAAGATTTTTGTGAGTAAATACTGTACTTTCTTTTTAATACTTTTCTAATTCCAACAGTGACTGACAGGGTAACAAAAAGAATAAAATGATGTAGGCTACAAACAATATTAAAGTTACAGGAACTGTTAGAAGATATTAAGTGTACACAAGACTTAAGAAGTTTCAGTAAAGTTCTTACTGCATTTTTATTCAATATGTGAAATTCTTCAGTAAAGCACCCTTTCTAGAAAAAAGTAACAATAAAATTCTTAAATACAGAATAACTCATGTGCTTACCTGTATATTATTTAAACCATATTATAGTAAAAAGATCAGGTAATAATTTTTCAAATGTGCATATGAATCTAATCGCTAAAATACAAACATATAAGGAATGTTCAGAGGAAGAAAATTAAAAGTTCAAGTAACAGAAATAAATGTTAATATTTACATTTATGTTTTAAACAAACATGTTCCTGCTAGTTACAGCTCCCTTTTTAAAAGTCATAGAGGAACTGCTAAACCCATGTTCTTTTTTTTTTTTTTTCCATTCTGTCACTCTTGTCACCCTGGGTAGAGTACATTGGTATCATAGCTCATGGTAACCTCAAACTCTTTGGCTGAGCAATCCTCTTGCCTCAGCCTCCTGAGTAGCTGGGACTACAGGCACCTGCCATCACACCCAGCTAGCTTTTCTATTTTTGGTAGAGATGTGAGGGGGAAGGGTGTCTCACTTTTGCTCACGCTGGTCTTGAGCTTAGGTAATTACAGGTGTGAAATACTGGGCCCAGCCCCGTGTTCATTTGGAAGGGTTAGTTAATCATAACATGATAAGCTGATTCCTGATAGGACTGAGTACCTCTCTTATCCTGCAGGGACTGTTAAGATCCTTTAAAGTAGGATCTTTGATATCCTTGGTCACCATCTGTGGTCATCTCTTCTGTTTTATGAGTTATTCCACTAATCCAACATCCAATGGTTTCCTTTCTTCCCAGTATTTTCCACTACTCCCAATCCCATGATTAACAAACATTCTTCCACTTCTCTGCTTTCCCTAAAACCTGGCTCACCAATTCAGGATACAGCTTCCCTTATAGATCCCTCAAGTGAAGGTGATCCTTCTCCAAAAGCCTAACTACCTCAAGGTCAAGAAGTGGAGTAGCATCCTCCACTCTGCCCTCTGTTACTTCCAGATCATATTATTTCATGTAGGTATAAAAAGTTTTCCTATTTTAAGACTTATGCTATCTAATGGTTTTATTGTCTTTCAGACATTCCAGTCACTCATCCTCATTTAGTGAAAACTCTGGCACCTAATTCACACATCCTCTGCATTCCCCAAACATAGCACTCCACAAGGACCTATTTAACCCCCTTCTCTTAGTTCCTGGTGAGGCATTATAATGAGATAAATAACTTAGGGTGTGGTATAACGGCAGCCATCAAACAGAATTAACATATTATATATATTCCTCACACAAAATCATAAGATTTCTCAGAAAATCCACAAATAACTGAAATTAATTTCCTTAATGATACTGTCAATCTGCTCACAATAGCTTCTTACTCTTTTTTTTTTTTTTTTTTTTAGCTTCTTACTCTTGATAGCTGCTCTGTTCTCAAAAAGGGAGTAAGTACCTCACTTTTCCAAGACTGCCTTTTATTTCTACTCTTTTATAAACTACCTTTGTTTTGTTTGAAAAAATCAATAGGTTTGATTATTGTCCCTCACGTATAATTAAACTTTGATTAATGTCCCTCACATACAATTAAACTTTCAACCACGTAGATGTCTTTGAGTTCTTTCTAGAAGTCCTACTAAGATCTGCCCAACTGAGTCTTTTCATTAGAGCCAACTAAAATGCTCAGATTGAATGTGCATCTCTTCTAAATCCACTGAGTTCTAGGCCTTCATTTAGTTCCTCCAGTGAGTTTCAATGTGCAGCAATGAGCTATTTGGCTCTCTCTACCTAAGGCAAACTTCATCGCTAAGCTTAGGGTAGAGATGGGGAGAAGAGGCAGTAGAATTTTCCAAAGGTATGGACATAGTGTGATTCTTTGGAGGCATTACTCTAATAGTCTCTCATACCTCTGAATTTCCTATTGCCTTTCCCAAACAATTACAATGGCTATAAATCTCTCTAAATGTTGAATTTATCACCTTATCTTAGGCTCCTCTGGTAAGAATCATACAGCCATACTACTAAACACAAATGATACTATACTTCAGCCCCTACTTAATAATCACATTCCCTTATATTATCAATACAAGAACATTAAAAACTCCAATATACTCATACATATATGTTGTACTTGGACCCAAGGCCTTAACAATTTGCTGATGTTTCTGATTTCTCCCAAAGGTTTGAAAGAACCCAAGATGTATAGTGCATAGGACGGAATGAGGGATTAATGATAGAAGCTAGAAATCAATTATATTTTCATAAAGCTATACACAACCCATTATGTGATTTGTTTAATTCAACTCAAGGTCTTTGTCCTCCATAATCAGGCCAATAATATTCAATAAGTAGCTAATACTTGCTGCTAATACTAGCTGTTGGTAATCATAACACATTTGTGTCCTCTCAACATATATTTGGTGGGATAATTGTTTGCAATCAGATGCCTTCTTGTGCTTTCAAACACTACCTGTAGTTTGAGTCTGGTCCTAAGGTGTTCCAATTCATCCAGACCACTAGGTGCTATCAGTGTGTACGAGAATTTCTGCTATGCCTACTTGTTCCAGAACCAAAAGAAGTGATCTATGATCAATCCCTGCATGTGGTCCAAATAGTAAATGATACAGCTCAAGCTTTGGAAACCCTGATACATGGATCAGTATAAATTTGTTTTCAAGAATTATCCTAGATAATATGTACTTATTTGACTGTTTACTATCCAGTTGTTGTAAAGTCTGTGCAGTAGCCTACATATCTTACTGTACTTAGGTAAACATTTTAGTGTAATGGTCAGTAAATTAAAGGCCCTCATGAAAAGATGATCAACATTCTGAGCTATTAGGGAAATTCAAATTCAAAACACAATGAGATATTAAAACCACTACACACAGTAGAGGCAGAGCAAGATGGCAGAGGGGATGCATTGCTGGGTCAACTCTCCTCATGGTTTCAGGTGAGAGTCAGGGTGTGGGGCTGGATCTTTCCCTGCATGGAGTGCTGGCACAGACAAGGAACACAGGGTGTGCAGCAAAGAGGTGAATTGCTGGATTGCAAGTGTAACCCAGAACTGTGGTATCTGCCAGAAAAAACTCAGTGCCACAGCTGAAGTGGTGTCAGCTGTGGCCGGTGGCCAGTGATTGGCGGCCAGCAGCCTGAGATGGCAGAAACCAATCCCTCCCTCACGTAGGACTTCTATACCCAATTCATGGGGAGTTTGGGTGTTTTGCAGAGAGTGTGGTGAGGCATGGACTCCTGAGCAGAATTTGGCCACCAGAAAGGGGAGCCATTTGGACCTGGTTTGGAGCATCAGGGGTCCAGGCAACCGGACAGAAATTTGAGGGGAAAGGATTCCGCTTAGGAGCAGATTCCTTTTGTAATTTTAGAAGTCTTTGTGGTGCTGAACTGAAGCGGCGAGCAACAGGGGCAATCAACCCCTTTCCTACAGACTCTGGAAAGTCTTTTGTGCGTGGCACTAAATCCTCAGGAATCAGAGGTAACTAGCTTCTCCCTCACAGAAATGGACTGAAAACTCTGTGCTGTGGTGCTAAAGTGGCTGGCACAAGCAGCAACCAGCCACTTGTCCTTTTCCCATGGAACATAACAATTTCCAATTTGAGGGGAAACTAGGAGTTGAGTGAAGCTCAAAAAAAAAAAAAACAAAACAAAAAAAAAAACTGGTGAAGCTTGGACTCCTGTGCCAAGTTTGGAGGACAGATAAGAGTGCCACCTGGAAAATGACAGCCAAGGCTGGGCGGCGAGACAGGAACCAGACATATTGTAAAACTTCAAAAATGGCGTCTCCATAGCACCTCTTCATGGTGAGATTGAGTTCTCCAGGAGTGTGGAGAGCTCAGTCTCACCTGTAGCCAGTCATCCTGCATCTGAAGCTGGTTCAGGACACCCCACACTTTACGGAAACTGTTGTAGGGAGAATTTCTGCAACCTGCCAGGAAAGATTCCTTTTGTTGTTGTTGTTTCTCTTTTTTTGTTTTAGCCTGGGAAACACTCACAGTGCCACCTGCTGTCTAGAAAGCATTTTGCAACATAAACATATTCCCACTAAAGTTGAACCCCACCTCATATGTAAAGTGGTATATTTGTATATATTCATAAGAATAATATTTTTCTTGGTGGTGCCCCCCTTTTTTTCCTTTATCCTTTTTTTGTAAGCATTACTGTTGCGTCTTTTTTATTTTTTTTTGTTTGTTTTTTATTGCTAATACTATTCTTCCTTTTTTTCTTCTCTCTTCCTCTCCTCTGCTTATGGTTGCTGAGAGTGCTTACATCAGACTAATAGTCTTGTTTTTGTTTTTCTTTTTTTTGTTTATTTGTTTTGTTTTTTGATCATTTTATGATTACCATTTTTATGGTTGTTTTTTATTTTTATTTTTGTTTGTCTTTTGTTTTGTTTTGTTTTTTGTCTGTTTACTTGTTTCTGATTGTCTGTGCATCTGTGTGCTTCTGTGTCTGGTAGCATTTTTGTCTGTTTATTTGTTCACTTGGTTTCAATGTGTTTTGTACTTTGCTAAATCCTCAGATTGGCTATTTTCCCTAAGTCCAATTTTCACGTTTAATAAGAATATGGAGGAACAGGGGATGAGGGCTGACTGGAGGTAGTTTTCAACATAAACTCCAGTTCAGGGGGAGAGATAACCACCAAAAAGAACCCAACAAAGCTGAAGGGGGAGAGTTGAGCTGAGAGAAGAGATAGATAAATGCACATCTTCTCCACTGAGGCAAGCCACAACCTCAAGAAAACAAATTCCAGGTGTAGATTGAGCCCAGGTGGAATATTCTCCAGCTGCCATTGAGTACCTGAGGCAGATAGGCTTCAGCTCCCTCTGCTGGCTGGTGACAAAGAGTGGTCACCAAGTGGAGGAGGCATTGACTTTACTTGGACTCTGGCAGGCACAAAACCCCGACACACTCTTGCTTATCGAACAGGACTGGGCCACAGAGTCTGGGTTAACAGAGACTGGCGGTGGGGTTACCAGAGACTGGGGTTACCAGAGTCCGGTGGTGAAGGGAGAGCAAGGAGGGGAAAGAGACATCAGCCTCCTTA